TAACAGTAGTTTGTTTTTTCTCTCTTTCCCCACCAAGGGTGGCTCTTAATCAAGGTCTTCGGATTCATAGTCACCCTGAATGGTTAATGTTCTCGATTCTAAATTCATATAGCTGAGGACCAGACCAAGAAGCAAGCCTTAAATTCTGGGTACCCAGAATAATACCAATCTCTTTGCTGCATGTGGGCAGGCTATTTATAGTGGACACACGGATGGTGGACTATTTTGTTGTTTAGTCATTTCAATCACATATGACTCTTCATGACCTCATTTGGAGTTCTCTTGGAAAAGATATTGCAGTGGTTTGCCATTTCCTTCTCTAGCTCATTTTACAGATTGGTAATCTAGTGGTAGTAGTAGTAGTAGTACAGTATAGTAGGCCAGTAGTATACTATAGCACACCAGTACACTATACTATACTATATATACCATACCATACCATACTATACTATACATACTACTATACTATACTATACTATACTATACTATACTATACTATACTGTACTATACTACTGGTGTACTATAGTGTAGTGGACTACACCCCAGTATACTCTCTACTCTCTCTCTCTCTTTATATGTGTATGTATGTATTATATATATACATACTATATATGTGTATATACTATATATGTATATATATTATATATGTAATATAGTATAGTATACTATGCCAATAGCATACTCTCTATATATTATATATGTATATATGTATATACACACATATGCACATATTATATATGTGTATATGCTACATATAGTATAGTATATATAGTATATATACTATATTATACATATATTATAGTATATATGTACTATAGTATAGTATGCTATGCTAGTAGCATACTCTCTTTCTGTGTGTGTGTGTGTGTATATACCATATATGTGCTATACTATAGTGTACTGAACCAGTAGCAGACTCTCTCTCTCTCTGTGTATGTGTATACATACATACATACATACATACATATATACACACATATGTGTTTGTATAGACTAAAGTACAATCTGCTATAGTACACTAGTAGCATACTATAGTATATTGGTATGCTATAGTATACTGGTGCACCATAGTATGCTACTAATACTAGAAATGTGGTTAAGAGCCAGCTGGTAAGGACCTATGGGACTTGCAGATTTATGGGAAGGGAGCAGGGCAGTGTGGTACAATGGAATAAACAGGACGTTATAGAGGAACTAGGTTCAATTCTCATCTTTGCCATTACTTCTGGAGTCCTTTAACTTCCTTAAACTCGGTTTTCCTAGCCTATAAACCAAAGGGGTTGGACTCAATGACCCCAGAAGTCCCTCCCAGATCCAGATGCTAAATCACTGTCAGCCTCATCTCCACTACTGAAGTTGATGCCTACTCTGTTGCCCTGAGGCCAAGAGGAAGTGAAGAAAGTGTCCTGGAGGTTGGATCCTGGAATTCAAAGAATGCTTTTGCATTACCAAAGGATTCTTAGTCACCAAAGGACTTGCCCTGAGGTCTCTTTAGAATGTACTTCCTCTCCCTCTACCCCTAATCCATTTAAGGGTTTGTTTACTAGTTCACTGGGTGGCCTGGAATGTACAAACTTAGAGGATGCTGTTAAGATGCAATGGCAATTAAAGCACAGAAATTAGGATAAGCAGCTCTAAAGCGATATGCTAATTGAAGGGAAAGTAGAATTCAATTTCTTAATAAATATGACATCACAAAAAACAAACTGGGTGTTGTAATATCATAATCAGCATTGCAACCAATAATCAAAATGACACAAATGGGACATTTGGATATAGGTCACCTGGATTCTAATTCTGATAGTGTCTGCTGCATCTCCTATGTAACTCCGGGAAAGTTACTTGGCTTCCGCTTTTTTCTGAGAAAAGAAGGGATTAGACTAAAATGACCTTTCGGGGTCTATTCCAACTGTGAATCTCATGCTCTTATGACTTTTTCAGACAACTAATAAAAAGGGGAAAATTATTTCCATGGTTTTGTAACAAGAAAATATTTGATGATTTGTCTATGATGTACAAATTTTTTAATGTGGATAGATTAATTTGTCTCTGGTCAACATGCCCAGTAAGAAGTAGCATGCAAAGGTACATATTTATATTGTATTTTTAAGGCATGCATTTTTAAATGTCTTGTTAGCTGTAGGGTTACATCCCTTGGACAGCAAGTAGTTCATTACAGTTAAATACTGTCCTATTGCATTTGTAAATTTCACACAAATGAGTAGGAAGTAATGTTGTTCAGGGAATAAGAGAACAGAGGTTGGCTTCTGGAGTGGAGGGGAGGGGTGGATCTTCTTCTGGGTCTGCAGCTAATTTCCCAGTGATTACAGCCAAATCTTTTAAATCTTCTTTATCTGGAAAGAAGAGAAAATGGACCCCCTCTCCACTTCTTGAATTGGTTCACAGACTGGAGAGTGGAAAGTGCTTTGAGCTCACAAAGAAGGGGTTAGAAAAGTACTAAAGCAACCCCAGGCCATAGAGAAACACATTCTTGGCTTCCTTAGGCAGCGCTCTAACAGTCTGTTAATTGACTGATACTAGGAAGTCAATACCAGTAGCTGGCTACAATGGATTAATGGAACAATTGAATTCCTAAACTCTGACTTTGGAGGTGCAAACAGACCTGTCCTTTGTTCTAAAGAGAGAATTTGGCTCTTCAGAAGCAAGCCCCACCAGGGTGTGCTTCCTAGCTATTCAATTATGACTTAGAAACTTTGCAGACTATTTAGAACACTAACACTAAATGTATTTTCAAAAAGCAAAATTCATTTGAACTATATCTTAGAATACCAAAAACAATAGTTCCTAGAAAAAGAAACATATCAATTAAAGCCTCTACAGCAATCCCTCTAAGGAAGATTTTCCAGGATGCACAAACATGCGCAAATAGACATTCACAAAGACAAACACACAGGCACATGTATGCTCGCATGCATACACATGCTTAGAAATAGTTTCAACTCAGAAACCCAAAAAGAAAACAAAACAGCGACAACAACAACAAAGTGTATGGAAGATCCCAAAGGGAGCCTAGGCGTATCACGGCAGGAACATTATTTACAAATCTGAATGAAATATACCATCTCAGATTTTTCAAAGCAGGATTCATTTGGCAGATAAGCCACACAAAAAAAAGAAAGAAAGAAAGAAAGAAAGAAAGAAAGAAAGAAAGAAAGAAAGAAAGAAAGAAAGAAAGAAAGAAAGAAAGAAAGAAAGAAAGAAAAGAAAAGAAAGAAAAGAAAAGAAAAGAAAAGAAAAGAAAGAAAAAAAAACCCTGGGTAAAATTAAAAGAGGAATTGAGAAATGACCCCTTTGGTGAAGGAACAAAAGTACCTTTTGGAGGAAAAAAATTAATGAAAGCAGGAAAGGCTCCTGATAGCTAGAAATACCTCCAAGGTATAGTGTCGTTTTGTTTTGTTTTTTTCCTTTTGCTTACATAATTTTTCAGTGATAAGTCCCATCTTTGCATTCATTGCTCTATGGCTCCAGTATCACTAAACGGGTCCTACAGGCCAATTTAAATATAGCTCTGGACAGTCAGTGTCCAAAGCAATATCCCAATTACTATTCACACTCCCTAGAAGAAGACTGCATCACTTACATTTCAGAATAATCCCTTCCTCCAGGAGGGAAGGGAAAGCTAGGGAGGAAAAAGACAGGCAAAATCAAGCTGTTAATGAAGCAGGGAAAAGAACCGTAGAAGGTGGAGGATAAAATCAGCTTCTCTCAATCTGTTTCACTGACCTGGATAAGGGATTCCTTAAGACTTAGAACAAGTGAATTATCACACAAATTATGAAGTTCTAGCAGCAGAACAACAATGCCCCTTTTAAACAGGGTTTTCAATTTGAAGTCAATGATTTTTTTAAATCAATAATTGCATTTTAATATAATTGGCTTTATTTGTATTTTCTTTGAATTCTTATAAATTTTTTTTCTTGCATTTAAAAATATCATTTTGAGAAAGGGTTTGTAGACTTTACCTGAATACCAAAGGGCACCAAAAAGTTAAGAAAGCATGCTTGAAAGCGTACATAGATGTATTAGATTCTCAACTTCCTCGGAGGGAGATTGAAGGGGAGAGGGGAAGGAATATTAATTATTTGCTTCTGAAGGGGAAAGAGGACATTTGGCTACTGACAGCTTTCTGCATACTAAATATGCATTCCCTATCTACCACTGACAGCTCTCTGAAAGGCAGACATAGCCTCCTGAATCATCACTCACAGCTATTCCACAAGAATTAGAAATAAGAAAAATTTCCCCCTCCATTCACTCTACTGTCCTGGCCCACCTAGGTCTGCCTGGGCTTTTTTATTGTCCAGTTAGAAGGGAAAGAGGGAACGTGCTCCTCATACCTTAAAGCAATTAAGGCCTAACTCCCACCAGCTTTGAAGAAAGCCTTTTATAGTCACTGGACATAAAGCTCCCTGGAGAGACATTCTTGAGCTTTGCTGATGACTTTCCAAAAGGAAACCAGAAGCTACCTTAATAACACCCACATCCCCTGATACCTCAACAAATTTGGAAAGAGAAACAAAAATGTCATAAAACTATAGGCTTAATAGCATAAACATGACTACAATCTCCAACCCTTTACTGCCATCAACTTTCCACACCACACCTAGGACTTTATTCAGTAGTACCATTCTCTTTCATTCATTCATTCATTTAATTGTCTATTCATTTATTCACTTTTTAATTGTTTATTTTGAGTTTATTTATTTAGCTTTCTTTCATCTACTTCTTCATACATCTGTACTTAAAAAAATTTTACTTCCTTTTTCCCTTCCTATTAGTCCTTTTCTCCTGTTTCTTTTCTGCCTCCCTTTCCAGCTGATTTCCAATTTATGCACTTGTAGAGCACATAATTTTTAAAAAGAGCACATACTTTTTGTCTTTGGGGTTTTTTTTGATACCAAACACACAAGAAAGACTTTATTGGTATTTGGTTTTGATAATCATACATCACTTTATTCACCATTTCAACATAAGTCCAAATAAATAGAAAGACATTTTCAAGGTCCTATTTAGTCACTTAGTCATTGAGAGTCTCCTATACTAATTAGCAATGATGACTGTATTCTACTGATTACTCTTCTGGCAGATAATGAGTGATCCAGGGGTACTTTCTTCATTGGGATGACAAGGAGAAAAGTAAAGGCAAAGAGGCCCTTCAAAGGCTATGTTTGAGAAACTGTGGATAAGGGATCTGTCTGTGACATCACAAAATGCTATATGTTTCTTTTCATAATCAAGAAAAATGCCCACTTTTTGTATAGGGTAGCTGAAGTGAAAGCCTTTTTGTGAATTCCAGAGACAAAAACAGTTTCTAGATGTGAAGCCTGTTAGGGTCATTACATCCTCAGATGAGGAGGAGAACTTCCCCTTTCTGCTGATTGAATCTTTACAGATGCCCAATTCCCACACTGTCTTATGTTCCACCTCCACTTCCCAATAGTGTTTGCCTGAGGTGAAGGTCTGGGCCCCCAAAACAACAAGAGCAATGTCAAATTTCTCTTTGTTGTCAGGTAGGTCCTGAGGGACACTTCCATACTGGACCCTCCTCAAGTCCTCAGACAGGATGAGATGAGGATTGGCTGATTCAGGATCAAGAGTTATATCCCTCTGGGGAAACTCAAGAGCACTTCTCTCAAGCCTGTGATGGACCAGGTGGGCCACTGAGGGCAAGCAAGCTCTGGTTCTTGAAGTAGCAGCTCCTCCTTCCTAGTGCCTTTCATATCCTGCAGCATTTCCAAGGGCACCTTGTCCAAATTCTCCTCTATTTCTACAATCCTTCCTTGCAGATTCTGGATTTGTTGGGACAGCTTGGCCTTGCCTTTCTCCAGTTTGACCAGATTGTCTTTAGATTCCTGGTCCATTTCTTGCAAGTATTGATATTCTTCATCCCATAAGAACCGGTGCATTTTCCCATATTCAGAAATAACAGAGCGTTTCAAAGTGGAGGCAGCCTCCTTACAGTGAGTCTCTCTCCTTCTCACTTCATCCAATGCCATTTTAAATTCCTCTTCTTTTTTCTTTAAGACAGTCAATGTCTCCTGGAGCTTATCCTTGCTCTTGTCAGCAGCTGTTTCCAAGGGAAAGACTTGTTGGTCTTTGTGCTCTGGGGCTAATAAACAGAAATCACAGAGGACTGTCTTGTCTTCCTCATGGAAGAATTTCTTTTTTTCCTCATGTTGACAACAGTTGATCAGGCCCACCATGCTCTGCAGCAAATGAGGTCTGAGCATTTTGCCAGTCATGGACAGATTCTGATGTCCCGGTTGGACATCAAATCGCTGTATTTGATGACTCCTCTGCATTCTGGGCAGTTTAAGGTTTCCTTGGCTCCTTCTTTGCACTGGAGAAGACACTCTGTGCAAGAGCTATGGCCACATGTGACAGTCACTGGGTCAGTGAAGTAGCTCAGGCAGATGGAGCAAGTGAGATCTGTCTGGAGGTTGTCAATTAAATCTCCTGCATTTGTATTCCTAGGCCTCTGGTTCCTTCCTTCTCAGATATCCCTGTCAGAAGGGGTCATGCTGGCTCTTCCCCTTGAGCTCTGGCAGCAAAAGCTATTAGCACTGAGTTGTGGGAGTCCTTTTATGTCTTCCCTCTGCTTTGTCTCTCCCTTTACTCTACCCCCAAAAGGTGAAAACTCCTGACTCTTGAGAAGTCTTCCAGACTCTTCTGTAGGGCTGAATTCTCACCTTTTTTCTTATCCCACAGCTCTTGAAGAAAACAGCTTTTACTTCCTCTTAGTACTTGGAAAATTCTCCTAATTGGGTCATTTGGCAATAATCCATCTCATTTCCAAGCCTCAGGACATCATATTTCTGTTGTTCTGAGATGGAAACAGGGCAAGAAACACCCCCAAGAAAATAGGGGAAGAAGGAACAAGAGAGCCGGGGGGTGATAGAGAGGAGGGCAGATTGGGAAAGGGGGTAATTAGAAGCAAATACTTCTGAGGAGGGACAGGGTCAAAAGAAAGAATAGAATAAATGGGAGGGCAGGATAGGATTAAGGGAAATAGGGTTAATTTTTTACAACATGTCTACTATGGACATGTTTTGCATAACTGCACATGTATAACCTATATTGAGTCCTTGCCTTTTCTTTTTTTCTTTTTTTTCTTTTTTTGGGCAATTGGGTTTAAGTGACTTGCCAGGGTCACACAGCTAATAAGTGTCAAGTGTTTGGTCTGAGGCCAGATTTGAACTCAGGTCCTCCTGACTTCAGGGCCACTGCTCTATCCACTGTGCCACCTAGCCACCCCTGAGTGGCTTGCCTTTTCAATGAGGGTGAGTGGGGAGGGAGGAAGGGAGAAAATTTGAAACCTAAAGTTTTTAAAACATATGTTTAAAAAACGTGTTTTCACATGCTACTGGAAAATAAGAAATACAGGAAATGAGGTACAGAAGTCTATCCTGACCTACAGTAAAGTAGAAGGGGAAGGGGATAAGAGAAGGGGTGGGTAGAGATAGAAGAGAGGGCAGACTAGGGGAAGGAATATTCAGAATGCATGTCATCTTTGGATGGGGGAGGGGTAAAATGGGGTGAAAATTTGGAACTCTTGTATAAGTAAATATTGAAAACTAAAAATAATTAAATTTATATTAAAAAAAGAAACACCCCCAAAACATTATCTCTTTCCCCAAACTGCCTTCTCCCCCATAACCACCATATGTATTAAACTTTGTTATTTCTCCCCTAAAGTCTCTCTTTTTTGTCCCCTCTGTTATGATTCATTGATTGGACTGACATAGTATTTTTTTAATACGAAGATTTCTTTTTTGGGGCGGGGAGGGAGAGACTTACTTCTGATTCCTTTCTTCTCAAATATTCCGCTCAGAAAATATAACACTAGCTCTTTTTTTTCCAGAGCTTTACCAACAAAAGATTTCAGAACTGACTTTTTAGTGTCTTTTACTTTTTTACAATTTGCCCCTGTAATCTCCTCTTGTTAACCCTCCCTCAAAAGGAGAGAACTCCTATGCCCCAAAGTACTTCTAGTCTCTTCAATGGGTCTGAGTTCTCACCTTTTTCTTTTTTTCCTAATTATGACCTTCTCATGTTCAGTGTAGGCACTTTAGACTGGGAGTTTCCTGGTCTTTCAATCCTTCAAGTCAGTGGGGATAGGGTAGAAATGGTTAGATTTTTTTTTATTGAAGACAGAGTGACAGTATCAGCATTATTTTAGATTGTCTTCTTCGTTGTGATAGCTCTGAGAAGAGGGAGAGGGAGTTCTTCAGGGGAAAAACAGAAGGTAGCAATGAAAGTTTATTTTGTAAAAACCCTTGCCTCAATTTCCTGTGTTCTACTCATCTGTTGATGTCTTATTCATTAAAACTATTAATAATGAAAAAAATAAAAAATAAAAAAACTATTAATAATGCTTTTATTTTGTATATGTCTTATTTTCTTGATTCAGTGGAAGTTCTGTGAGTCTACTCTGCTCCTTAATTACATTGTTTCTTACTCAGGGACCAACAGTCTTTTAAAAAAAATTAGTTCTAAAATTTATTATCATCTTTCTTTGAATGTGTTCTTCATAGCATCAATTTTTATTTTTCTTTTTTTACATTTAATTTTTATTTTTTCCTCAATTATATGTAAATAAACACATTTAGCATTAGTTCTTTAAACTTTTGAGTTCTAAATTCTCTTTCTGTCTGTTCTCCCCCTTCTTTTAAAAGGTGAGTAATTTGATACACATCATGATTGTGTACTTAGTCAAAACGTGTCCATATTAGCCATGTTTCAAAAGACAATGCACACCCCAAAAACAATTAAAAAAAAGGTTGTGGCTTTTTTTCTCCCCTGTTTTGGTGAGGCAAAAGTGACTTGCCCAGGGGCACACAGCTAGTAAGTGTCAAATGTCTGAAGTCTGATTTAAACTCATATCCTACTGACTCCAAGGCCTGAGCTCTATCCTCTGCACCACCTAGATGCCCCAAAATATTTTTTTAAAGTATACTGGAGTCTGCATTCAGACTCCATCAGTTCTTTCTCTGAATAGCATATTTTAATAATTTTTTTCACATACCCTCTAACTAATTTGTCACTTTCCCCTTCCATAATTTGAGCCATTCTAGTTGGTATAAACTATCTCAAAGTTTTTTTTTAATTTGCATTTCTCTAATCAATAATGATTTAGAGCTGTTTTTCATATGATTGTAAATTGTTTCATTTCTTCATTAGAAAACTACCTGCTCATATCCTTTGACTATTTAACAATTGGCAAATGACTTATATTCTTATAGATTTCACAAAATTCTTTGTATATTTGAGATATGAAATCTTTATCTGAAAAACTGTCTATAAAATTGTTTGTTCTGGTTTTTTTTTTTGCTTTCCTTCTGATCTTTGCCACATTTGTTTTACTTGAACAAAATCTTGTTAATTTATTTTCATCATAATTATCCATTTTGCAACTGTGTACTGCATCTCTTATTTATTCATGAATTGTTCACATACGTATAAGCCTGATATGTAACATGTTTCATGTTCTTCTATTTTTCTTGTAAAATCTCTCTTTACATCTAGGTCACTTATCAATTTTGACCTTATCTTAGTAAATTGTGTAAGATATTAGTCTATGCCAAGTTTCTGTCATACTGCTTTCTAGTCTTCCAAACAATTTTTATTGAATAATGAATTCTTGTTCCAAAAGCTTAAGTCTTTATACTTGTCAAACACAAAGTTATTGTATTTATTTGCTGCTGGAAATTGTATGTCTACTCTATTTCATTAATCTGCTTTTCTATTTCTTAGCCAGTATGGAGAGTTTTGACAATTACTGCTTTATAATATAGTTGAAGATCTGTTACTGCTAAACCTCCTTCCTTTATGTTTTTTCATTATTTCCTTTGATATTATTAACTTTTTGTTTTTTCAAGTGAATTTTGTTATTATTATTTCTAATTCAGTAAAATAATTTTTTGGTGATTTAATTGGGATGGTATTGAATACATAAATTAGTTTGGGTAAGATTGTCATTTTTACCATGTTGGCCATGCCTACCCATGAACAATTAATATTTCTCCAATTATTTCAATTTTGTTTATGTGTATAAAAAAGGTATATTATTATTATTATTATTATTTTGTTTCTATAGTTCTTGGGTTTGTTCTGGCAGTTTTTCTCCTGGATATTCTATACTGTCTAGAGTTATTTAAGTAGAGTAATTTTTTTTGCTCTCTCTTCTTGCAGAGTTTTGTTTGTAATATACAGCAATTCTGATGATTTATGTGAACTTCCTTTATATCATGATATTCTGCTAAAATTATTCATTATTTCAACTAATGTTTTAGATGACTCTTTGGGATTTTCCAAGTATATCATCATATCATTAGCAAAAAGGTTAATTTTATTACCTGATGCCCTATTCCGATTCCTTCTATTTCTTTTTCTTCTCTTATTGCTATTGCTAGGGCTTCTTACACAATATTGAATAGTATTGGTAATGGTGGCAATCCTTCACACCTGATCTTACTGGGAAGGTGCTTAGTTTATTCCCATTATAAATAATTCTTGCTAATGGTTTCAAATAAATATAGGGGGGTTTTTTTATAAATTCAAGGAAAAATCCATTTATGCTAATACTTTCAAGTGTTTTTAGTGGAAATGAACTTTATCAAAAGCTTTTTCTGCATCTATTGATATAATCAGGTAATTTTTTTTAAGTTTTATTATTGATGTACTCAATTATGTTAACAGTTTTCCTTATGTTAAAGCATCCCTGCATTCCTGGTATAGATCCCCCTTGATCATTATGTATAATCTTTGTAATATATTGTTGTAATCTTTTAGCTTGTGTTTTATTTAGGATTTTTGGGATTTATGGTAGTTAATGAAATTGGTCTATAATTTTCTTTTTCTGTTTTTACTTTTTTAGGTTAGGTGGCAGTATCATATTTGTTTCATGAAAGGAATTCAATAAGATCTCTTCTTTATCTATTATTCCAAATAATTTATTTAGTATTGGAATTAGTTGATTTCTAAATGTTTCATAGAATTCACTTGTAAATCCATCTGGTGCTGATGCTTTTGTCTCAGGAATTTAATTTATGGCCTGTTCAATCTCTTTCTAAAATAGGTCTATTTAGCTGTTGTATTTCCTCTTCTGCTAATCTAGGCAGTTTACATTTTTTTGTAAATATTCTTCCATTTCACTTAAATTGTTAGATTTATTTGTAGATAATTGAGCAAAATAACTCCTTATAATTGCTTTAATTTCATCTTTGTTAGTGGTATATTCACCTTTTTCACCTTTGAGACCAGTGATTTGGTTTCTTTCTCTCTCTTTTCTTAATCAAAATAA